TTCTTCCCCTTTTTTGTATGCATGCAGCTAGTTGACGAGGTCTTCTTCCTACTAATGGCCATCAGTGCAAATTGGAATCCCGACACCGAACGTACGGAGTTTGCGGTGGCTTTCAACGAACAGGTGGGACGCCTGCTGTGTATCCTGGCTCGCGCTGTAGATGCCCTCTGCAGCAAACCGGGTACCCACGCAAGGAAGTGTGAGTGCCACCATGAAGAGGATGACACGCCAGAAGGCAAGGAGGAACAAATCATCGCCGCGGCGAGACGCAGGGGTCAGATCCTGGAGAAGCTCTATGCGAGAGAACTGCCAAAGGTAGGTGCTGCAAATTTCTAGAAGAAAAACCCCAGTAAATTGTAATTTCGTGCACCGCGATCAGCTTCAGAGTGAGCATTTCAGTTCAGTTTTATTAAGGGAAGACCGAGAAGCTGGCGGAGTTAAAATAGTAAGAAAATATGACTACTCGCTTAGCACCAGTAGTATAATAAGTATTTGCCCTGAGAAGGATATACGAACGTCTTAAAACTCCCTGTTGGCACCAGAGTGGCTAAGAAATGTATCGATATCGTTTCCGTTGATCCCTGTGTGGCACGTTTAGATCGGTCTTCTTAACGCTGTCTAGATGGACGAGGAAGGAGAGAGTGCGGTAGATGCATCGCAAGTCATTGTTTATGCCTCACCCTGCTGCGGAGCACGTGGTAGAGAGGGCCAGACTGGACGGTCGAATTGTCGAGGTTATGTTTGAATTACATCGAGGCCGCCGAGTTTTTCACATTTGATTCAAATGAACAGCAGGAGAGTTACGCATCGAAGGCACCATTTAAGTAAGTACACCATGTGTGGAAAAAACTGGGATGATTATTAGGATGACTTGACAATGTTGAGTAAGTCAGTTGATCCAATTGTGAAAAATGTGTGGCCTTGCTGGGATTCCAACCTACTTCAGCAGGGAAGGCTTTAGTACAGCCAAATCTCTACCAATGAAGCTGTTATAACCTTGTGTGTTCTTGTGTCAATACCGGTTATATTCCCCAGCTACGTGATAGGAAGAGAAGGCAGAACAAGATAGCAGGTAGTACTTAACTGTCAGTTCTACTAGTACATCAGCTCTGTTTCCTGTGTGTCCAGCAGCTT